CGCCCTTCTTTCTCCGCGCTGGCTGTTGTCGCCGCGTTGATGACATCAACGACGCGGTGTTAGTCAGGCGCGGTTTTGTTCGTCCTTTTGTCGGGTCACGGACAAATACAAAATTAAAGGAACTTCTATCTAGAAGACCATGGGGACGCGATGGCTAAGATGCTGAGCTTGTCGATCAGAAAGGTCGGCAGTTTGTCCGTTTGAATCTCTAGCTCCTGTTACTTGTCCCAGCTTCTGCCAACCTAGCAGTTTGAAAGCATGTAAAAAATGCAAGTAGAAAAATAGGGACCATCTTTGGTGGGAAGGTAGCAGCATTTCATGTGCCTTCGGTGTTTAGTTATGCTGGCCACATGGCTACGGAGATGTCTTCGGACAACGCTGGCTCTTCAGCTTTAAAACAGAGATGACCACCGCCTCCTAGAGTCGGGAATGACTAGCACATATGTGCAAGGGGAATCTTTACCTTTAACTTATCTAGAAGAGCACATTGTGTCATTCTTCTGGACCTGTATCATGAAAGTATATATCCAATAACCCTCCTTCTCTTTCATTAGACTGCAGATGAACCAATTCTCTACCCACCCAAAACATTCATTTTACTATTTATTTTGCATAGGAAAGGTTCAAGAAGAAATTGAATTGGTAATTGGGTGCAACAGACCTCCCACCCTGGCTGATAAGGCACACATGCCCTTTACAGAAGCGACTATTATGGAAGTTCAAAGGATGACAGTGGTTGTCCCTCTTTCTATTCCTCGGATGGCCTCAGAAACTACTGGTCAGTATTGAAGAATGGATATGCTGGTTAACTTGACAATGCTCTTTCCTGCTGCAAGCCTATTTGGCTGAGAAATAATACATTTGGTAGAAACTTGAAAAACTGAAATGAGCAACATTCAGTTCTGTGTGTTGCTAAAAATTCCAGGGTAGCATAGTACTTAACTTGTTGAACCAGGACAAGGGATACCCAAGTCCAAGTCTTTCTTCCAATTCTGAGCCAATCACTCTTTAGTTCAACCATTTCAGAGTGATGTTGTTATGGGTAAAAACTAAAGGAGGGAATACTAGGCTTGGTACTTTAATATTCTGAATGGAAAGTAGGATATTAATCTAACAATTACAATAACTTGTTTATACTTTCATTTTTATAGGGGGCATTCTTTATTTAATTGTGGTAAATACTTAATTTTCTTGTTCTGTCACCTTAGGAATTATAATTTAGTGGCAACATGGGAGGTTTAAAGGGAGGGGAAGCAAATGAGGACTAAAGCTGATTTGGATTGCCTGCTGTAGCTGAAAGCATATTTCAAGAGACTGTAATGTTTACCAAAAGCATGGCATTTATGTTTATGATATTATCGTTTGATTAGTCTCCCTTACATTTACATTTTTCTCTTCCACAAACCCTCATATATGCAGTGTGTATCTGTGGTTCTGTAATAACAACCATTTTAATTAGGCAAAATAACATTCATCCAAATCAGAATTTTAATATCTCTTGATTTTAGTAAATAAGAGCTATAAAGGAGGAAAGGAATTCTATAGAGGAGAATTGCTTCAGTGTTGATGTTTCTACTTAGGAACTGGTACCGTGTTTCTCCATGAATACGACCTATCCCAAAAATAAGCCCTAGTTAAGACTGTCCCATCCATCCCACTGTCTGGTTGTATGAGCTGTGTGTAAAAATCAAGCTAGGGTAAGGGTGGGGAGGTAGAGCTGTCCCGTGCACCCGCTTAACTTAGGACCACTGCAGCCAGGCTTCCCACACCCCAACAGCAGTTACACTGCTGCCTGATTTCTGTGACCGCTTCTGGTGCCGCTACTTGTTCCAGTGCTGCTGCTTTCAGGCTGCATGGCATATTGCTCTGGTGCCACCATTCAGACAACGGCACAACATGCCACATGGAAGAAATCTGGCAGTGGCGCAACAAGTGTCAGGGTGTAGGTGGCTTGGCTGTGGCAGTGCTAAGATAAACAGGCAAAACATCCCCTGAAAATAAGACCAGGTCTTATTTTGGGGAAAATACAGGAACTGTATTGGTGAACTGTATATTTTGATCTGAACTTTATTCTTTCTCCTTTCAGAGCTTCAGGGATACATTATTCCAAAGGGAAGTGTAATCATTCCTAATTTGTGGTCCGTGCACAGAGATCCTAACAAATGGGAGAACCCAAATGATTTTTGCCCGGCAAGATTTCTGGATGAGAACGGCCAGCTCCTCAAAAAAGAAACATTTATTCCTTTTGGAATTGGTAATTTAATTGTTTAGAGTAAAGATTTTGTCAACATTAATAGATCTTTAAATCACCTACTTACTTATTTGTAGTAGACGCTGCAAGGGGTCCTTTTGGGGTGAGAAGCAACCATTTTGCTAGGCATGAAAAAGTCTACATGTGAAGGTTTAATTTAACTGATTTATTGCTCACACATATTACATGTACCGTATTTTTCAGAGTATAAGACACACTGGAGTATAAGACGCACCAAGATTTTGAAGAGGCAAATTAAAAAAAAAAGTTTTTTCACTCTTCAGACCTCCCAAAAACGGGCCTATTTTTTGTCATAAAAAGGCCATGCGCAGCCTTTAGGTGGCTTGTAGATTGCTTGTGGGGGCTGGGGGGGGGCAAAAATGAGCAAAAAACATCCTGTTTTTCACTCACATTTGCCCTCCCCAGCCCCCAAGAGCACTCTGGAAGCCTCCTAAAGGCTATGCATGGTCATTTTTGCAAAGGGGGAGAGGTTTCGGGAGTCCAAAAATGCTGCATTCGGTGTTTAAGATGCACCCAGTTTTTCACCCTCTTTTTTGAGGGAAAAAGGAAAAATACGGTACTTGGCATGAATGCTAGAACCCCAATTTCTTCAACCCAGATGCCCATCATAGTCCACAAATGCTGATCCTGCATAGAAGATGAAAACATCCCTGCAATAGATTACATTACAGCAATAATGTCATTAATAAAAAAATTGAAACACTTTTAAAAATATTATAAAAGTTGTGTCAAAAATATTGCATGAATCAGAAATGTTGTTAGGACAATAGATGAAACAGTGACTCTGGCCAAGGATGTACAGCTTTATTGGGGCTGGGGGCAGCCGTTGATCCTTGAGCAGTGTGACAAAGGACCAGACTTCTAAAATGAAAGCAGTGAAATTCATTTGATTTAATGACAATTTAAAATGAAAGAAGTTGAAGTGATTTAATTTTATCATTATTCTCCATGAATGCATTGAGTTATAATTTAGAACAAGCCAGCTTCCAAGGTTTTCAAAGACTATAACTTGTGCATCACTCAATTAGGTGATGTAGGAGTGTAGGAAAAATATAGATCAGGCCTCAACCTTGTCTCCCAGATTTGACATTATATGAGATTGTGTAACAGGAGACCAGTTCTTTTAGCTGCAAATATTTACCATCATTCCTTAGATCATCCTTTTATTATTTTTCAATAAAGAAAACCTATTTAGAACATTTAACTATGTCCTTGGAGGCTCATTGCATAAGTCTGGCCCCATAACCTCTTATAGGCAAGTGATGTGTAGGTTTTTTTGAAGCTGAATTTGATTTAATTTAAATGTCAGTGTAATTACTTTTTTAATATATATATTTATATTTTTTAAACAAAAAAATACAAACAGTACATATAGAACTAAATACAAAAATAAAGAAAGACAAAAGAAAAAGAAAAAAAACCACATATTACAGTGTACTCCCCATTCCTGGAGACCTCCCCCCCCCCCTATATTTCTTAGAAATACAATATATTCCAATTGTGCCCTTATACCCTCCAAAACAACACATATTTTTGAGTAGGTTTACTCCCTTTGCCTTCCACCAACACTGATTTTATAAAATCCCCCCCATATTTCATTATAATTATTTACTTTAATCATCCCCTTTTTAAGTTTAATTTCTGTGGTTAATTTATCATTTGTTGCCATACACCAAATTTCATTATATCACTCATTTCTTTGGCTATCCCAATTTTGTCAACAATATTTAGCCATAACTAATCTAGCTGCCATTATCAAATTTACAATCAATTCCTTTTTTGTTTCATTTATATCCCGTTTTTCCCCCAGCAATAAGAATGCAATCCTCAGTGACATCTCTAGATTTACATTCAACAGTACTCTAATTTTTCTAAACACCATGTCCCATATTTTTTGTGCAGTATCACAATCCCATTATATATGTTTATATGTTCCAATCTCTCTCTTGCACCTCCAACAAATATTTGCAAGTGATGGTTTTCCAGAGCAGTAACACTACATCATACATTAAGTAAATGCGCTACGAATAACAACAAACAATGCAGAAAATATTTATACAATGAGAATCAGTTCTTTTGTGACACTGCCTTTTGTCAAAACCATTTTAGAAACAGAATGGGTAAAACCTAAAATTTCATTTTAATAAGTTGTAGGGGAGAATTAAAGAGCTATTTTGGTGTAGTGGTTAAGGGATTAGGCTAGAAATCAGACACTGTCTGTTCTAGTTCTGCCTAAGGCACAAAACCTGCAGGGTGACCTTGGGCCAATCACTTTCTCTCAGTGCTGAGAATGAGGCAGTGGCAAACACCTTCTGCAAAACCTTACCAAAATAACTGCAGGGATTTGTCCAGGCAGTCTCTGAGAATCAGACATTATTGAACAGGGAAAAAAGAGTGTTAATAGGAGTGCACCAATAGTGTTCAAAATTCTTCATTGGATTTGTTCTGAGAAATTAGGGGTGATTGCTCTGGTGTCTTCAAGGGAACAGGACATTCTTCAACAATTTCTAAGGAGCTGAATTTCTTAGTAAGTAACAAGAATTCCCCTAATTGTAGGAAGAATTCATTCTCAATATTTTCCTTTGGGACTGAATGAAGGAGAGGTCCAGTGACTGCATATTGGAAGAGAGGAAATTCTCTTTTTCTCACATGTGTATACCAGTGGTGGGATTCAATTTTTTTTACTACCGGTTCTGTGGGCATGGCTTGGTGTGCATGGCAGGGGAGGGATACTGTAAAATCCCCATTCCCTTCCGATCAGCTGGGACTCGGGAGGCAGAGATGGGGCAAGTCAGAATTTACTGGTTCTCCAAACTACTCAAAATTTCTGTTACTGGTTCTCCGGAACTGGTCAGAACCTGCTGAATACCACCTCTGGTGTATCCACATACAGTAGATACACACAAAGGGCTGCAATATTCCAATCATCTGATCATTTCTTTGAAGCAAATGCCCTTTCATCAAATTGAATACAATTGAAATGAAATGGAGGGGGGGGAATGTTTTCTGCACTAATTAATTGTGAAAAATCATTTTTGTCCCCTTCCCCTCCCCCCCGTAACCTTCTTGTGTTTGTTTTCTTTTTAAAGGCAAACGTGTGTGCATGGGAGAACAGCTTGCCAAGATGGAGCTTTTCTTGATGTTTGTGAGTCTTTTGCAAAGTTTCACCTTTATATATCCCGAGGACTTAAAGAAACCACCAATGGAAGGAAGATTTGGCCTGACGTTAGCTCCCTTTCCATTTAAACTTATTGCCTTAAAGAGATGAGGAAACTTCCAAGAAAAATGCTGCATGATGTTCACGTTACTATATGAAATTCAGGGCTATAGACGAAATGTTCTTCACCAAAACCTAGTCATTAGCCCAAACAGGCTAGGGAATTTTCAGCCCATGGGATATCCAAAAATTATCAAGCACTCTCTCCTCTGCTTGGGCTGTCCCCCACTTGATATGCTGAAACTCTTCAACTATAGAAACAAACTGAAGTATGTTGACCCCCCCCCCCCCCAAAGAGCTGCAGAGTAACAAGAGGAAATTGGGGCAGCCACCCATAGGGGGACCATTGGTTGTTAAATGCCTTTTAATAGTAGATAAAAAGCAAAGGAAAATATTGGAAATCTAAGTTGCACACGACAATAGACAAAAGCAAAAAAAAAAAAAGATTCAGAAAGCACTTACATAATTGGAACTTTTAAAAAGACATAGTTAAAGATGAGTAACGGGTTGTCTTAAAAACTTGAGCGGCATTGTAAGCTGTCTTAAAACCAGAGTCTGTTGGGGAGGGGGTGTGTGTCTTCTGTTGGATAAGTCTGGCTTGTCTTCACTGTCAGCAGTAAATCAAGAAGAAAAAAAGCTGTCCTGCACACACAATAAGTTCAATCCTCGGTCTGACTCTTTTTACATGCTCCAGGGAGGCTGCTTTTAAAAAAAAGTGTAAAGCCTCAAACAAACACATACATAGATACGTTCAATTAAATGAATGTTCCATCCTTGTTTTAATAATGAAGGCAAAATTTGCTTTTAAAACATGATGGAAATGGCACTCCATTTCTCCATATCTCCGAGGGGCAGGGGTGATGCAGAATGATGTTATTGATTCTAAGGCACAGATCTTCAAACTTGGCAACTTTAAGACTTGTGGACTTCAACTCCCAGAATTCTCCAGCCAGCTATGGGAATTCTGGGAGTTGAAGTCCACAAGTCTTAAAGTTGCCAAGTTTGGGGACCCCTGTTCTAAGGGATCATTACTGTGCCCAATTACTGTTCCTTTGTGCTAATCAAGAAAAGCAAAACAGTGAATGGACTTCCACAATTCAATTTTTAATACATATTTAATACATATTTATTGAGATTTATCTCATGGCATGTTACTGTTTGCTAAAAGGACATTTTTGTTGGCACAACTTAAGTAATTTCTCAACTGTTCACATGCTGAGTTTCTGGCAGATTTCAGAAACTGCTGAGCTCAGCCTGATTTAATCAGCAAGCCACCCATAACATCTGTGTTGAAAATGTGTAATACATGGTGTAAATGCCATAGGAAGCAGCGCTGGACAAACTACTGCTTCAGGAAAGCATAGGAAATACAATGATAAATGTCTTAAAAATAGGATTTTATTGGGCAGAAGATGTACTTGTCTTTAGCACCTTAACTTAAGTGCTCTGCCATTTGTATTGGAGAACAGTCTTGGCCAGTTATAATTGTGGTGCTGGCATGAACTATACATAAAATAATTCGATTGACAAATATTTGAGTTTGAATTTTGGAACATAAAATTTAATTTAAAAAGGCCTTTAGAAATGAAAGTTAGGAAGGAATGCAACTCTTATTCTAATCTTATTTTCTAAAATAAGATTAGAATTCAAGTCCCATGCTTTTAAATACTAAAATGTAGAGAGAGGAAGACTAATTGCTAGTTCCTATATTTCTTATATATTTCATGGTCCATAAATGCAGAATATTTTGATGAACATTTAGATGCTATTCAGCATAATAAAAAAGATGTACATGTATGAAAGACCCCCTTATCTTTTCCCCATTCCTGTTTTCATACAGAGACATGAGGATGCAGTTAGACATATTTGAAAAGAACTTTATTTCGTAATGTTTTAATTAAACTAACTGCATTTAAAAAAAGAGAGAAATTTTCCTTGGTGAGGTAAGAAAGGTAACTATTCCTTTCCCTGCATGTTATCCTAATTTTAAAAAAAATCATACTGCCAAAATTTGGGGCTTGTACTTTTTGATGGAAAATCAAAAATAATTCCAATTGAAAATGGCAGATTTTCGTTCATTTTCAGTTGACAGAGAACCTGAATTAATGGATCAGGAGGTTTGATGAACAGACTGAACCATTTTTTGCATACCTGTGCTTTATTGCATGAACAATATTTAACTGGTTCATACAATAGTGTTAAAAATTAAATAAAGGGCATTGTGAAATAGTGTAATATGAATTACTATAACTCGCAGAATGAATTATCCTTTAAAAAGGGAACTTGGCCATCTTCGACAATCCTTATCCTTCAATTGCACTTCTAACATTTAGATGAGTACTGTTATGGCAGATAATCTTATCAGGCAAAATACAATCGATCCTTGGTATGGCATGTGTGTCCTTTTATAATGAAGCAATCTTTTACTGAAGCACTTTATAATTTTGTCAGATTTCAAAGGTCTGTACTTCTGCATTTTAGAAAGAATTAAGGGCCTGTGTAAGAGCTGGGTATATTAATTGCCTATACCTTGCTAATATTTATATTGTCTAATGTTGTTTTCAAAATGAATGCCTTGTTTTAGAATTTTAGGATGAGAATGTAAAATCCAAGATCTGAAATAATTGATTGCTTTTTTTAAAGGTGCCTATATTTAGACACAGTGTGAAATATGTTCATCTAAATAAAGTTTTAGATAAATAAAATATTTGTCTAAATAAAGTTTTGTTTTTAAAAACCGACTATTAAGAAGAAATTTTTGATTTAAAACATGTTCTTCTGTGAGTATTAAAAATATAACAAATTATTTTACTAGCCTTTCTCGACTGCTATTCAAATAGTTGGGAGTACAAAACATCTGGAAAATCTCAAGTTGGTGAGAATTATATTACAGATATCCTTTTTAATGTATCTAAATGTTTTCTTGCAGTATTGTTTCTATTTCTGGCTGATTTGACACTACTGTAATAATCTTTTTTCCAAGTATTGGCAACTGTAGTTTTCTATGTGAAAATTCTTAATTCAAATTATTTATTTAAATTGAACCACTATATATAGGTAAAACTGTTGTAAAATGGGTATATTTTTCCTATATTGTCCAAACTAATTATAATTTCAAACAATGTATGCTATGCCTCAGTGGGTTATGAAAGTGCTCCAACTACTGGTAAGTTAACAAATCAGTGGCACAATGCAATGGGTGAGCTAAAATCACCAGCCTTTAGAAAGTGAAGCAGGCAAGAAGTCAAATCTGCATACATATTTATACTTGGTATATGTATAAGCCATGTGTGCCAAGCAAAATTACTATCATATAAAATGGGTTTTCAAAATTTTCAAGCCAGAGAAACTGTTATAGCAGTTAAATAAATACCGGTAAATCCCAGAGCCCTTAGAAAAGAGACAAAGTTGTGATGAGAATTAACTGATGTTTTTTTTTTGCATTGAGTTTCTGGTGAATGCTCAGGTTTGACAGGACCAATTTGAAAATCCCTGAAATAGGGAACAAAGATTCTTATGTTAAGAGATACATTCTAAAGCCATTATTTAGGAAATGAGAATGACCAAATACTGCATTATTTACCCAATTGCTTTTATTAGAAACATAAAAATTACTTTAATTTATACTCTTCTATAATCTGAATCTTTGTGCTGTTAAATGCCAACAATTAATATTTCTTTTGGAGGGAAATACAGTGAAATCATGTGGTGTTTTTATTGTAGTAAAAGCCAACATCATTAAATACATGTAATTTTTTTTTAAAAAAAAGCAAAAGTGACAGAGATCAGGAAGTTGAAATCCAAGAATCTTGACGTCAATAAACTGAGGACCCAGATTGTTGGGGGCAACCACTTAGAGAGCTGTAAAGCACCGTGAAGCAGTATATAAACCTAAGTGCTATTGCTATTAAGCAAGAGAAAGTTGACAAAATAGGTTTTGTGTGTGTGTGTGTGTGTGTGTGTGTGTGTAGGGGGGGGAAGAACTCAATGGAATTCAAACCATGTCTGAACCACATTATAATCCGATTTGTAGGATTATATTGCAGATACTACAATATACAATATATTGCAGATAGGGATTCAGTGGCTAAGATGCTCAGCTTGTCAATCAGAAAGGTCGCAGTTCACTGGTTCGAATCCCTAGCACTGTGTAACGAGTGAGCTCCCATTACTTGTCCCAGTTTCTGCCAATCTAGCAATTTGA